TTTTTTTTTTGACAACGCTCTTGTGTTTAAGGTGTTTTGCTACTTAGTCTAGGTTTCTGAGTGCCTTTCATGCCTGAAGATTACAATACACAAATTTCATGGTGTTGGAAACTCCCAGTGTGATTCATTTTATTTTTCTTTAAATCCTGAAAAGTACATGTTCCAGGTAGAAAGCTAGGACAAGGTCAGCATCTTTGAAACAAACATTTATTTTTTACAGGTGAATTCTTTATTTAACCTAATAGGATATTCCTATCCAGACAGTCAAGCTTGTGATTCTTTACAGACAAATAAATCACGTGCATGTGGTGAGCAGTGCTTGGCATACTGAATGGGCAGAGGCCTCTTGCATTTGTAGCTTTCCTTTCCTGCCTTGTTGAAGGTTAGCTTGCAGACTATGAAATGTTTTGGCCTTCGGAAAGATGAGCTATAAAGCTCACCAGAGGGAGAGTCGGTCATTGTCATCTCTCCCCACATTGTTCTGCACTTCCCCCAGCTATCATATTTCAAACCCTATGCCTTGGTCCAGCCCATGCACAATTTTTGTAACCAGCTTAGTTAGGGATGTGATTTCCCTTCCTACTTCTGCCTGTTACACTTAGTTTATAGCAGTAATGCCTGCTTTGTGGGAGTCACTGCAATAAAATGGTTCCTCTCCTTGTGCAGGGGGACTAGCTGTAGAAGCAGAGTACTTCTGTGTCGGAGTAGTTGCATCTTCCATGGGGTAGCTGGACTGCTTTAAGTACATGGGTCTAATCAGAGCAGTTTGTCTTCTGTTTTGACATGGCCATGTCAAAGCATCATGATGGTTCTCACCAGTGTCCCTGGAAGGGATGGGCTTGGGTGTGTGACCATGCAGGTTCAAAAACCTGCTGTCAGCACTGTCCCAAGGCATAGGGCATTCTTATTGCATCTGCGCCTGCCTCCTTCGATGTGGTGCCAGAGGCTGGTGGCGTGGTTAGTTGCAGCAGCATCTCAGCTGCAGTTGAAGCAGCCTTTGAGATTTAAAAAATAAAAATAAAATACCTTCCATACTTTGGCAAGCCGCGTTGTTCTTAGTCTTTTAACCCCCCAAATGTCAATAGTTAACTTTTGGTATATGGTACATAATTACGAAGCAAAGGGGAGTGACCTCAGACTGCATTTTATTTGAGATTATGAAGAGTGCCATTCTGTTTATAATTCAGCAGTAAAAGACTTCACTGAAGCCATGCATGCAAGTTTTAAGTTACACTGCAGAACTGCTGCAGAACACTTCTGCCTGCAGGTGCCAGGACATAGAGGTCTTTCAAGCAGCTGTTTTTGGGGTAGAGGAGGGGGCTTATTTTAAGAGTTGCATGAAGCACTTCAGAAACACTACAATTTTTTTCCTTCCTTTCCTTCCCCTTTTTCCTTATTTCCACCACGATAGACAAAAAGTTAAACTATGGGCAATACCTTAATACCCTTGGCAACGTTTATGCTTTCTATAAGGATGGTTCTGTCTTCTAAATAGAAATCGGTAAGCGAGGGTTTTTTCTTCAGAAGGACACCTGTGCTGTCAGATCACACAAAAGCAGATCACTGGGACAGGCTGGGTACTGCGTTTGACCAGCTAAATCTTGCATCCTAACCTTTCTAGAGCAACCTCCCTGTGTCTGTGCTGCAGGTGCGGCTGTGGAGGCACGCCGGAGCATGGAGGAGCGGGGAAGGAGCACCTTACAGCACGCTGGTGCCATCTGACGGTAAGCTCGCCCAGCGGGTTTTCCCCCTTCCCATCCATGTCAACAAGCTTTTCATTTATTTTGTGGGAGTAGGGTGAGATGACATTAGTTGCATGTCATATCTATCTATCTATCTATCTATCTATCTATCTATCTATCTATCTATCTCTCCCAGAAATAGAAGTACTATGCTCAGTAAAGAAATCTGGAATGGTTTGTGTGGTTTTCTTTATTCATCTTGTGTTTTACAAATAGCTTTTAAATTAAACTACAACTTACGATATGACTTTTTCACTTGTTTTCTTTTCTGATCTCCCCAGAAGTAACTGTTATTCACAGACACGGTCTTCCTGTAGTAACTCTTACGCTGCCCACAAGAAGTGAACGCTGTCAGTTTGCTGTTAAGCCAATGGTGACCACCGTAGGGGCATTCCAAAAAGATAAAGGAATTGAGAAGGCAGAAGTCTTTGCAACAGGTATCTTGCATTTCTGTCGTTCCTCAGAAAGAATACGTTCCTTTTCAAATGGACTGTACTTCTCTCCTGAAGCACGAGTTCAGTCCTCCATCAGGTTTCGCATTGTTGCTGTTGGGGTAATTCTTGAATGCTTCTGGGGTTTATTGGTGTTTCAATTTAATATCTGAGTCCTCTTGGAAAGGCTGATTAAAAATGCAAAATTGGACATATTACTGTAACCTTAGTTAGTGTCCTCTATTATATTTTTCAGGTAGCTTCTCTTTGTAATGCTGTCTTTAAATAAGTGCCTCTCTTCTGGTTTCCTTGATACCTTTTTCCTTCCTTGTCCTCCATGATCATTTTTAAAGACAACCAGTCGGGCTCTTTCATGTGATGTCTGCCAGTTGTTCAGTGTTACCCCAAGCTGGAAGAATCAGTTTGCCTTACTACAAACTTGAACTCATATGGAAAACTTACTAAGAGCTAAGCAATGAGATACCGTGTGCAATGATAAAGGGTAGTTTTTTTGAGACTTCGGGGAGGTTTCATTTATGAGCTGGAGTATAGTACTTCGGGGCCCTTGGGTTGAAAAGAAGAAGCTATACTGAAATGTTAGCATTACCGTGGTCTTTCCTCCTTGTAGCATACTGTTTATCCCATTGTCCCAAGTCTTCAGGTATTTTTCTCAAGCTCTGCTCACTGTTTTCATGTATTTTGTCTCTTTGGTCTGCCTGTTGATAAAAGCTAACATCCAGTTAGTTAAACTGGTTTTTCATTTTATTTCCAAGACAACTTGGTTTGTATTTTGGCAGTGCTTTGTAGTTTTTTCACAGCAATTCTGAAAAGTCTTGTGACCCCTGTCCTGGTTCTAGAGAAGGACTCAATCTCAAAAAGCAGTGCTTTGTAGTTTTTCCACAGCAATTCTGAAAAGTCTTGTGACCCCTGTCCTGGTTCTAGAGAAGGACTCAATCTCAAAAGTGGAACCGAGATGTAGCTTTCTTGTCTGAATCTGGTAGAATAGGTACTTGAATTTGGCTAACTGAAAGCATCTATTTCTTCCCTTCCCCTCTCCCCCCCTAGAAAGAAAGGAAGGAAGGAAGGATAGCTACATCCCTGTAGAAAGATTTATTTTCCATCAGGTAACACATAAACAGAAGAAAGGATGGGGTCAAGGAAAGTTGGTCTAAAGGTTCATAACTGGGTACATTCGTAATGTTCCCTTTCTTCCTGGTTGATATTGCAGAGGGCTGCAGGGACTTTTAAAGGAACTGAAAATAGACTGATGCTCCTAGAAGATCAGGAAGCCACAGATCTAGGAGAAGCTGCTTTAGTTGCCTTTGAGAGCACATTTATTAAAACAGAAAAATACCCCATAAAGCAATATATTTGTATCCTCTAGAGCAATGGAGATGTGATCTGTGTGGATCCCAGTGTGTGCATGAGCTTCATGTACACAGGAAATTTCAGGTTGTTTTTTTTAATGCTATGTCTTCTAGGCAGCAAAGGTAAAAATTCTCTTGAAAAAGATAATTTTCTAAGAGACTCATGTCTTCAGAAGCCACTGTAACAAATGGTCATTGCCAGCAGCTTGCCTTCCTCTTAACATGGAATTTTTCACTAAAAAGGATTTCTTACTGGGGTGAGGCAGGGCTAGCCAAGAACATGTGCCAGCAAACAGTTAACCTCTGAGTACTTACTGCTATCTGTGCAGAGACACCCATGACAGAGGTATTTGTGATTCACTGCTGAATCCCGTTCTTCTGTGGTATGTCAGCAGAAGCTAACTACTCATTCTGCTTAAGTGCGAATACTGGTCACTTGTGAAGCATAAGATAATTTCTGTAAGAAACCTTCAAGTCTGGCATTTTTGGCATGGACGGGCAGCAGGTTCCAAAGTGATAAGGAATTTGGGCTGTTTTCACCTAGTCTCATCTGTTTAACCACCATCCTGTCCCATCCCTCCCCTCCACTGTGAAATAGAAACATTGTCTGCCTTCATTAAAACAGTGACTGTTAAACAGTTCTCTGCTCTGTATTTTTCAAGTGCTGGGCAGCTGTAATGTTAGACAGCTTAGATGTTTAATTTATTAGGGAACTGATACTGTAAAGAGAAACTATAGGTCAAGTACTGACATTTGAATTTGAACATTTATTATTAAAGAAAAATTATGAAGCCTTGATTTAGTGCAGACACTTCTGTGTCATTTAGCCATTAAATGAAACCCAACCTTAACTGAAAGCATTAATGCTGTGTGTAATGACTCACTTCAATTTTCTGTGGATTTTGGTTCTGCAAAACTTCTGTAGACAAAAAATGGCCCTTGGTCCACACTTGGAACACTTGTGCTTAGGTATAGGAGGGAAAGCAGCCTTTTGCTGAAAACCTGTGGGGAATTTTCCAAAATAAAAACACCTCCCTTCCCCCAAAACTTTCCTACTTTTCAGTTAATGAAAGGTTGGACAGGTTAATAAGTTGGTGTTGTATAGCATCCAGAACAAAGACCCTGTCTGGCACTTCTGTTGAAAAGCATTTTTTGCTTAAATATCACTTTATAAATGTCACCTTAATAATTTACATGCAAATGAGCTTTGATGTTCTATTACACTGTTTAAAAAACAAAAAAAAAAAGATAAATGAGTGGATAGGCACAGTAAAATCAGATTTTGGATTGAAAGTGACAGCCTTCCAGGTTTGCTTTTGCTACCCACACAGAGTGGGTCAGGGAGCCAGCTGGTGTGTTAGCTCATGGAGTTCAGTAGTCTCAGCCTCAGCAGATGGGGCCTGAGAACAGAGTTCCAGTGAACAAATAATTGTAGGTGTGGGGTTATCTATGGTGCCTTTCTGTAGTGGGCATGTGGGGACAGATGGAGGAGCTGGGGCAGTAGCACTGTGACAAATATTTACATACAAAAATCTATATATTTTGTAATCTGATCATTATTCATCTCAGGAGTAAAGCTGCTGTTTTTCACCACTGCCCACCCCTTGGCAGGGGCAGGGGAAGACACCCTTTTTATGTATAGGAAATGAAGACCAGGTCAAACAGCTATGGTGAAGCAGCTGCTCTGTGGCTTTTGAACCCCCCCCATGCCACAGCAATGTGTCCAACAGCAATGGTGTGCAGCTCCAGGGGTTCTTGAGCCACCTGAACCCCCTGTGGGGGCTGGTTTTACTGGGTGGCTCTGGCATCTGCTGGGCTTGGGCCAGTGAGAGCTCCAGGGATCCACCATTACATGTTGCTGCTAATGGCTCCGGGAGCTCTTCTTCAGTGTCTTCAGCTCCCTGTGGGATGTCATGTGTTCCTTTGCATCTTAGCTGCGGTGAGGTGCGGTGGATGGTGAAATGAAGAGGAGATATGAAAGTAGGCAGGCAGGAAGAGTAATAATATACTAAAGAAAAGAGGTTATTTACAAATGTCAGGCCCCTTTAAACAGAGAGACAAAAAGCAGAGATGAGAGAAAATAGATCTTTTACGTTTCAGCAGAGGTTTTAGATTACATCTGCCTTTGTGTGTTGAATGTAAAATAGGAAGGGATCCATTTCTCATTTGGATGCAGCTATTTTTCCTGTTGTTGAAGAAATCAGAAATGTTGCCAGAGTACTAACCTTGCAAGATCTGCTGTGTTGAGAGTGTCCTGGGAAGAGCTGCAGTATGTCCATGCTGTTGGGTGAGAGCCTTTTTATATATTGAAGTTGTGGTCCATCTACCAGTGTCAAATCTTTTCTAAGCCCTAGGCAGACACAGATAACTGCCTTTTGGGTGAAAGGACCTTTGGCAAAGAAAAATGGTAAGAGAGGGAATGAAACCAAGGAAAAAATATAAAAGCAGCATAAAATCTTCAATAACCAGCTTTCCTGATTGAATGTCACAGTTGCCTCCTTGTCTCTGATTTTAAGTCATTGAGAATAGATAAGGTTTTTTTTTTTTTTCTCAGCCTGTTCTCTGTGTTGCTGATGAGGTAGCATTAATGTAAATTTTTGCATAAAAAAGAAAAGTAGATCAGGGTTTTCCAGACCTTTTTAGACTAATGCCTCTGTGGCTCCTGGTCTGCCTTGTACTGGACAGTGTACTTCTTGTCTACTTCTTAACTCCCAGGCACAACTGATACTGAAACAGAGTGATTGCAAGTACCATTAATAAAAATCTGAACACCATTCCTGACAAGAATTGCTCCTTTTGACTTAGAAGAGCTTGTTTAAAGAAAGATGTAAATCTATAACTGAAGATGAGGTCTTTGAAGGTCTTCTACTTTGCCAAAACCCTTTGTCCTAGTGAAGATGCAAACCTGTGTGTGGACGGAGAAACAAAAATGCAGACCTTTATGTTGCAATTTGTTGCTGTTTTATGCAAGACTTCTTTTTCCTCTGCCCTCCCCTTCCCAGTGGGTCAATACTAGTCATAATTTTGACACAAGAAAATGCAAGTCTGCTCGTAGTAGTGGCAAGTTGGAACGACACTGCTAGAGAAAGCATTCAGGCACACACTCTGCATTCGTGTGTTCCTCCTTACTTTTTAGTATCAGTTACCAGATTTACTAGAAGTACAGTGCCTTTCCAAACATTATTAATGAAGAACTCTACCACTTTTCCAAAGGGACATCAGCTAATGTTTAAGATTCTTTATGATAAATGATTTGGAACTTAAATCTTTCTTCTGCAGATGGTAGCAAGGTCTGTGATGCAACGTTGATGGAGGTCCTATTGATGAATGACTTTAAACTTGTCATCAACAACACAGCATACAGTGTGTCACCTCCTGTAAAAGGTAAGAGCAATGCTTAATAACTCTGATTATCTCACTTCATCAAGTGAAAGGCATGGGAAGTCTCAGAAAACTGGAACCTGTCTGGAGAAAGGAATTAATCGTTTTTGGTTTTGGTTTTTTTTTTTTTTTTTACCATTGAATAGTCCTGCTTTTTGGGGTTGGAGGTGGGGAGAGAATGAAGGAGGGTAGGTTCTTGAAATGTTTTGTATGACAAACATTTTTCTTTTTAGAGAAGCTGAGTAGTGAGCATGCTACTGAAATGGAAGATATCAAATCATTGGTTCACAGACTGTTTGTGGCTCTACACTTAGAAGATCACCAGATCAGGAAAGAGAGGGAATTGCTACAGAAACTAGACCATCTGAAAGAAGAGCTGCTGCCTCTTGAACAGGTTGGAAAGTGGGATTGCTTTTTGTTTTTTTTTTTAAAAAAAAAAAACCTCAAAAGTATTTCCTTTCATCAGGAGTAAGTCCTGTGATAGAAGAAAATCAGCATGAATGGCTAGGGAGTGTCTGGGTTTATTGTTACGCAAATGAGGGTCAATTCAAATATAATTCAAATTATTTTCAATTCAGTTCTTTTCCCTCCTATTATGCACAATGCCCTGGGTAGAAACCACACCACCTGGAGAAAGCTGTCATGAACAAGCCTCAGTATGACTAGTATTGGTATTGAAAGTCCTCTTAGTCACCTGTTGCTCTATGAGTTCTCAATACCCATTACAGAAAAAACAGTAAGAGAGGTAGAAATCATCTGTGGATTAGGCTAAGGTTTTCTATATCACCAAGGCAGCAAGGCAAATTGTTTGGACTAATCGTTGCCATAATCCAAGAAGGGAAGGTACAAAAGTTGGCAGAGTAAGCCAACCCAGCATGAGGGGAGGAAGCCAGAAAAAGCCTGGCAAGGTGGACAAACTTTTCCTTGGCTTCAGACCTGCTTTGTGAGGACCAGCCTCAGCGTTAACCAGAGCTGCCTTGAATGGTAAATGCAAATCCAGTAGACATAAATCCCTAGTAGTGGGAAGGGGAGATGAAAAGCAGCATTTCTTGGTGCACAACAGTCAGGAGATCTGGTTGCCCTTGGATTTCAGTCCTTTTCTTTCTTGGCAGGATTAAGTCCCTAAGAGGAGTCAGTAAAAGATCCTGAAAAAGGCTCTAGCCCAGCAGGAGAAAACATAGTTGAGGAGCCATTCAGTACTTGCACTGTTGTTTGCTTGAACAGTTTTCTATATTTTTTTTCCTTAGATGAAAGCCAGAATCACGGACAGTGCAAATGCAAAGACCTCCAGGCTTCTATGGGTTGGCTTAGCTCTGATGTCAACACAGGGGGGAGCATTGGCGTGGCTCACGTGGTGGGTCTATTCATGGGACATCATGGAGCCAGTCACATACTTCATCACTTATGGGAGTGCCATGGCTTTCTATGCCTACTTTGTTCTTACTAAACAGGTAAGTCCTCATTTTGTAAATGTCTGGAGTATGGTGAGGGAGGAAAACTGACTCTGAATATCACAATGTTTGGGCTCTGATGAAAATATAATTCAGTAAGTAGCCTTGCCATCAGATAGGGACTTGTTTGATCCCCAGTGGGGCAGGCTACAAACATTACATTATGCGAAGTCGAGCCAGGTACTGTTACATGTGAACTGCAGGCCAGCTGCTGAGCAGAACTACTGTCTGTAAGATTTCATAACCTAGGGAATGAAAAGGGATGAAAGAAGTCTCTCCTTTTATTTTAAATTTTTGTAGATCACTTTGAATAGTAAATCGCACCTTGCTCATTGCTGTAAAGGGAGAGCAACTAGTAGTGCTGTGCCAGTTTGTGAACACTGCCTTACAGCAGGCCAGGAAGCAAATCACTGAACAGTAGCTTTTATTTGCCTGAGTTTACATATAAACAGTGTAGGGTGCCAAACAGTTTGGAAATCTGGCAGTTCCATTATTGAAATATACCTAATTTAGTGCCTGAAAAAAAGTTATTACTTTGTTCTGCATAATCTGACTGCTTTTCCTTGACTTTGAATGAATGGAGATAAATCTAGGACAGCTGAAATGGGGCAGAAACAGGCTTTGTCTAGAAGAAAAGATTTTGCTGAGTAACAAAAAACCAGATCTTAACTGAGCTGCGCAATACAGACTTGTCCTGAAGTCCTGTAAGACCTCAAGGAATGTTTCTTTTTCCTGTTTTCACTCTCTACTTTACTCCCAAAGTGGAAGTCTTGATGTCAAACTTTTTGTGATGCAAAACTCTTTTTGTTACGGAGGTATGTGGAAGAGTAGCCAACACTTCCTTCCATAATACCAGTGGATCTATAGACCTCGTGAGATGTCAGGTTCCTTTAGTGAATAGGGGAGATGTGTCTGTTTTTATGAATAGCTGGCTCTGAATGCAAGTTTTACTCCTTCTTACTGACTTCTTAGAAGGGCTAAGGCGTTTCTCCTTTTTGTATGTAAGTAGATAAAGAGATTACTGCTTGGCCTTCTTGAACAGCGGCTGCCACTGTTGCTTGAGACTTTCAAATAAGTCTTTGAGAAATAGTAGTTGAACTTTCTCTGACTCCTTGGAAGTAGTGTCCGTTGACTCAGGCAGCTCCGGTCATGAAGATCATGCTATGTCTTTATTATGATTGAAAATTCCTTTAGACACAATAGAAATTACTCCTACCATACGTCTAAAAGGCCCTTATGACCTATAAGGGCAAAACCTCATATGTAGCCTCTTAACAGAACATGTGTTGTGTGTTGAACTAGATAAATCTTCCTGAAACAGGCTGCATTTCTATTGAAAACTCATTTGTGCAGATAATCTTCTGACTTCTACACGGTTTTCTTGCTAACCCCAAATATGTGCCCTGCTTTCTTCACCAGGACTACATTTACCCTGATGCTAAAGACAGGCAGTTCCTCCACTACTTCTATCGGAAATCCAAAAACCAGCATTTTAATGTGGAACGATATAACAAGCTCAAAGAAGACCTAGCAGAGGTATTTAAATACAGTCCTTAAATAATGAGGTAGCCTCTGGGTTAAGATTTTTTTCAGTAAACTCTCAGCTAACAGAAAACTGACCTCAAGGTTTGTTACTTACATTCAAAACAGTGTATTGCTTATCAGCCAGTTTGAGCTGTTTAAATAGCCATACAGTGTTTGCCATTGATGTATAAACTACTTCAGTAAGTCATGAGAAAGGGAGACCTTCATGAATTTAATTTAAAACAAGTAAGTCAGTTTATCAGCCCTGCACATCGATTTTGTGCATACTCGAATATGTTGCATTTTTGGCCACTTTAATAGAATAGCTGTATTGCTTTTGGAGACAGTGTGTTTGCTGCACTGCTGTGGTAACACACTCTTCTCCCTTCCTTGGAAGGAACTGTCTTGCAGAGTTCAGCATTTGACAACTTAATCCTATTCCTCAGGTAAAAGGCTTAGATTTCCATCTAGTCACCCATATTCTGTAAAAGGTGGTGGTGTGTGTGCCCGGGAGAACCTTTGTAATCTTCATGAATAAATGTAGCAGAGCCTACTCCTCAATTCTTACTACCCCATTCCACCTCCCCAGCCCTGTGTTCAGTTGTCTCATAAAAGAAAATTGAAAATACCCCTAATTTTAGTTTAAGACCTGTGGTTCAGGGTATCATTTCATGAGCCACATTTGGCATAAGCTAGATGCTTTTTCAGTAGCCTTTGAGTATGAATTTTGTAATTGTAATTTCAAGAAAATACTACTTCAGGGTGTGGGTGAGTGGGTGGATGGGCAGGGCACATGCTTCTCTCTGGAGACTGGCTGAATGGCCGGAGCAGGTCTGTAAATGTTCAGTGTCCTCCATTTGATTAGTTTGGTTTCTTGCGTAAGACCAATGCCTTCTGAGAAAGGACAGATACTGGATGTGTGAAAGAGGAGAAGAAAACGGAGGGCTGCTGAAGGATGAACTCTTCATTTTTTCTTGCACTGGCAGGCAGAAGAATCCCTGAGGCGTCTGCGCCAACCTCTGCATCTGAGGCTTCCAATCCAGGAAATCAGTGACAAGGACTGAATTTGGTTTTGTATATATTAGAATTGCCTTTTCAAAGCCGATAGGAACATTTAGTTACTCTATAGAAACTGGATATTTTTGACCACTATAGTTTTGAAAGTTGCAATAAATACCTATAAAAATGATTTGGTCACGTGATGGTTTGTTTTGTTTTGGGGTTTTGTTTGTTTGTTTGTTTGTTTGTTTAAATACTATAAAGAAGCTGCTGAAGCAAAGTTTTTCAAGGTATTTGTCAAATCTGTATTAGTAAAATGGAGGCATTCTGCCTGTGGTAAAATGACGGGGATGTTTTATAGCACAAGGGCTGTCGTCTTAGGACTATTTACTATAGCAGAGCAGTAGCTCATAGAGTAATTTTCTGCAGTGAGTATTAAGGATTTTTTTTCCCTGAAATTATTGTTTTCCTTTCCCTAGCTCTGTGCTTTGACTCTGATATAACACCATTGGTGGAGGTTAGAATTGCATTACAAGTAAGCTTTTTTAGTAAATATTGCTGGGAAAGCAAGGTATATCAAACTAATTTACTATAAAATTATTTATGTTTCACTGTTGCATTTTATTGAAAGAATTTATCCAAACATTCAAATTTATACATTCATGATTCATACAAAGCTTAAAAGTAACCACAGTAAGATTTAACATCTGTGGCTCAGAACATAGTATATGAAAAGATTTGATTAAAGCAGAGCCAGTAAATCAATTCTTTTATACCCAGGAAAGTGGGTTAAGACACTTTTCTCAGCTTGAGTTCTCCATTGTCCCCCAGAGTTAAGCATACCCATAATGTAAAAAATAATAAAAGAAATACTCATTTCTAGTAAGTACCATTGAAATTACTGATGCTGCAGTAGTAACAATCCGTTGATGACAAACACACTATCACTTTTATATACGCCATGACAGTGCATGGCTGATCTCTGGGGCCAAGGGCAGGATGAGGCTGATCCAACACCAAGGCCTGAAGTATGAAGGTTTGCACGTGCTGCATTTTGCAGAGCTGCCTAGAGATGTCCAGCAGTTGTAAGTGAGCCTGGAACCTTGAAATGATTTGCTTTAGCTTTAGAGATGTGTACAAGGTGAGCTACCCAAAGTCAAGCTAAGCAAGCTGTTACACGGTCTCACTGCACTACTGCTTGCTTTTCCCCTGAGGATGCAAAGCACCAGCAAGCTTTAATTGTGCCCCAAACGTAAATGATGTGCAAGCAAAAAGAAGCCCGTTATCTATATTAATGGTTCAGTTGTACTTAATGAATTAAGTTCCCTTTTAGTGTCGAGAGAAAAGAAAAAATGTCTAAAAAGCTATAAATCCACAAAAACTGGAAGGTGAGTACTGCTGTCCGCAGATTTAAAAAGATGCCCGACAAACATATTCCCTGTAAACTGTGCTCTTGGAGCAAGAAAGCTAATCTAATGCAACATTTGAAATGTTTTGGAAATAGTAAAATGTGCCATAGTTAGATGGCAATCAGTCAAAAAAACTTCTAAGAAAAAAGGAATCTAGAGTATTGATTTCAATAAAACATGAGCACTTCTTAATAGTTTTGCACCAGTCAACTTTTCCCAAATTCCCTGAGATGAGCAGAGCTGTAATACTAGTTTTAAAATTGCTATAAGATTTTAGAAACTATTACACATACAAACTATAGCATTTGATACCAGTGTTTTTGCAAACAATCTTGTAGAATATCAGTCTCCTGAACTAAGACGGTGTATTTTTCACTTCTGCAGTGAGTATTAGTTAATGGTTGTCATTGTTATTTAGCAATCTACTTACATTTTGGATGAAAATACAATTTTTTAGTTAACATTGAGGCAAAACAGGGAATCTGCTTTTTTCCTATAGCGTTAATGTCTCTGCACATATCCACTTTGCGATGAGATACTTTCCTGTTAACAATAGTAAGAAGTTCTGTGAACTCCAAGGAAGAGCCGTGCTTCCTGAGCACCTCGCACAAGTCTTGAATGTACCAGGAGCCATTTACAGTTTCACGATGAGAAAAGTAACCTGTTGAAGAACAGGAACATAAAATTATTTCCAACTGTAAGTAGTGATGCCACTTGAAAAATAATAATGAGAGTTACTGCTCGCTAGCTGCATCTGTAAGGGATTACTAATGGGTGTAAATCTTGCTTCGCCAATTATGTAATTTCAGTGGAAACTGTAGATAGGAAATGGCTTTGAGATCACTTACAGTGCGCAGCCAATAGGAGCGTGGTTCAGGGACTGGTAGCTTACAGGATTGTATCTGCATGTTACAAGAGAGCAGAGGGGACTGACAAGATACATGGAGGAGTGGAGAGGACAGCCACGTAGTACAAGGAAATTTGTAAGCCACTACAATCCTGGAAAAGGGAATGCTTGCTGTCACCAGACAGCTCAGCAGCAAGGTTACGATGAGAATGTTTCTGCTTGGCAAATTAACTAAAACCTTGATGGTTTATTTTTACTTTTTCCTTAACATGTGAGACGGGACTGACAAGATACATGGAGGAGTGGAGAGGACAGCCACGTAGTACAAGGAAATTTGTAAGCCACTACAATCCTGGAAAAGGGAATGCTTGCTGTCACCAGACAGCTCAGCAGCAAGGTTACGATGAGAATGTTTCTGCTTGGCAAATTAACTAAAACCTTGATGGTTTATTTTTACTTTTTCCTTAACATGTGAGACTCTTCCCCACCACAATCCTGGAAAAGAAGGGAATGCTTGCTGTCAGCAGACAGCTCAGCAGCAAGGTTATGATGAGAATGTTTCTGCTTGGCAAATTAACTGCAACCTTGATGGTTTATTGTTACTTTTTCCTTAACATGTGAGAAAAGACGAGATGTCACTTATCAGACATGCAAAACAGATGACCTGGAACTGTATTCATTATTTTGACTGCAAAATGAAGAAGTGGTGAAGCTTGTTACAGTGAAATATCAGACATCAGATGTTTTATTAGAAAATTACATATTAGAACTTACCTTGCGCCACAGAGTAGCACATGATAAAGTCTGCACCAGCAGGCAGGGTATAGACACCAGCTGCATCCACTTCAGTCTCACTGACAACAGATTCATTGCTGCTGTCTGTTGAATCCAGAGCAATAACTGGATCGTCGTGTTTATCTCCTCGACATGCCTGTTGGTAAGAAATGTTGTTACGCTTTCACCTCTGCCAAGCTCACCTATGTTAATGTGATACTTCTGACACTAACCAGGGGGAACTTCTGTTCGGTTAGGTGTTCCACATTACCATGAGTCTGGATTCATAAAGACCCATTTACTTCTCTATCAATTAAAATATTGGCAATGAAGTCCAGTGAAGGCTCTGAGATGATCACAGAATGGCTGAGATTGGAAGGGACCTCTTGAGTCCAACCTAGTCCAACCCCCCTGGCTCAAGCAGGGTTAACTAGAGCAGGTTATCCAGGACTATGTCCAGTCAGCTTTCAAGTATCTTCATAGATGGAGACTCCACAACCTCTCTGGGTGACCTCTTCCAGTGTTTGACCACCCTCACAGTAAAAAAGTGTTTTCCTGTGTTGAGATGGAATTTCATGTGTTTTAATTTGTGCCAGTTGCCTCTTGTCCTGTCACTGGGCACTGCCAAAAGAGCCTGGATCCCTCTTCTTTATTCCCTCCCACCAGGTGTTTATAACATTGATAAGATTCCCCCGAGCCATCTCCTCCAAGCTGAACAGTCCTAGCTCTCTCAGCCTCTCCTCATATAAGAGATGCTCCAGTCCCTTCATCATCTTTGTGGCCCTTTGCAGGACTCACTCCAGTAAGTCCGTATCTTTCCTGTACTGGGGAACCCAGAACTGGACACAGTACTTCAGATGCAGCCTCACCAGTGTTGAGTAGAGAGGAAGAATCACCTCCCTCGGACCTGTTGGTAAGGCAGTGTTGAATAAATGCTCTGAAGCACAGCCATTGTTATATGCTGTTACACTGCTGCTCTTAGTTCAGTCTCAGATGTGTTAGCTGAGGGAGGGGTTTTTTGTGAGAAGCTGGCGAGCGAGCCCAGTATTGTCAGTATTGCAGAAAGGCTATACATGGAGGGTAAGAAGGTAAGAACACACTCAAAAGATATAGAGTAGGTAAGGAGCATTACTTAAGAACTACCACTAAAGAGAGAAACATGAAAATGTTCTTTCATTTACAGTGATAAAGTTCCATCCTTGCTGTTTCCTCTGATTTCCAAAGGTAAATGCTATGCCGATTGTGCTGTGAAAGAACTCAGCCGATGAACTGAACCCAGTCAATTTGCTTTTTGATGAGTATATATTATAAATGTTTCCAAGCATTAGTTATAACTTAAAATTGAAATATGGAAATATTTCTCCATCTCTGGCACCTGGTTAAAAAAAAAAAAATCAAAGCTGAAGGAGTCCTAATGAAAGATGAATTAACAATGTGCTGATTCTTGCAGCGGCCTTGTGCCTAAGGAAGCTTTCATTTGGAAAAAAAGGTAATTCTTACAATCACTCTATAAACTAGTACAGTTACAATCTGCTGAAGGCCAGGCTCTCATTCGAGTTTGCTAACTGTAATCTAGATAAAGATGGGATAAAGCCCTGTGTAACCTGGTTTGACCCCATAACTGACTCTGCTTTGAACAGGAGGCTGGATCAGAGACCTCCTGAGGTCCCTTCCAACTTTCATTATCCTGTGAACCAAGGAGTGAAACAGGCAATTACATATGGGCTTTATTTGACCACTTAGCAAAAGCAGTATTTTTGAGGTAATAAAACCTTAAATCGATTCTTTAAATTCTACAGAGATGCCATGTATTGGACATGGACAGAAAAGACACAAAACAAAAAAATGAAGAAAACCAGAAAAACATCACTACCACCACCAAAACCAACCAACCAAAAAACCCACAAAAAAACCCCACAAAAAATAGCTTCTGTAAGGATCAAGTAAAGGGACTTGCCTGGAAGGAAACAGTGAAGGTAAGGAGGTTTGATAGCTGCCTACAGCCTAGCCTAGGGCTGTGAGGTGTGAACAGCAGGAACCGAGCTGCTGAAGCTGTACACAACTTTCTCAAAAAATGACACTGTCTTCTATGCCATTAAATATACACTGACAGTCAATCTGACATGGACTTAATTTGGGTTGCTCTTCATAAAATTACTTCTTA